ACAAGCAATGGTTAAAGGGAGAGTATCAATAAAAAAAAATTCAAGAGTAAGAATGAATACTCACAACTAACTATTAGATCTATAAACTTTATTATACATATAGACTCGTTACAGAACTACGCGGTCGGATTGAGTTTAATTATTTTCCAAATATTAATCTTAGATGTTTACATCTTATGATTCCATTCAATGAAAAACCTTTGACTTTGTAACTAGTTAATATAATAAACATCCGGCTGTAAGTGGCTAATGAATATTTCTTCTCTAATTCCCATGAGTGACAACATGTATTAGGACGGCTTAGATTTTCTTTCCTTTTAAAAAGATCAGTTGGTGGTTTCATTACGGTAGTTCATCTTTCGGGAGTAAGAAAGACGTCTCACAATGATATTTCAACCTTCTCTTGGTCATTATCGTGTAATTTGTCAGTAACATGAATCGAGCTCGTGAGGTATCCGGAATGCGAGTTTGTGATTTATTCCCGACCACCAGCCACGATTTATTAAAATGGATTAGATAAGTTTAATTTGTGTACTTCGTCATCCAATGTTTCCGATTTCATGTCTTCTTCCTTGTTGTCCGGGTGAATAATCACGTCACCCACTTAAGTTGTAGTTTTGTTTTTTTTTTTTTTTTTTCTTGTACTTCATCAAATTCGTCCACTTATTTTGTTTGTTTCTACTGCAAATTCAACCATTGACTTGTATCACAAGAAAATTTTAACGTAAAAAAATTGATATAAAACACTGAAATTTGGTCCCCCCATTCCAACTGGCAATTTCCACGTGAGGTGGCGAGAACATCGGGCATGCAAGAACACATGGTTGGTTGCCGACAATTTTTACCACAGTCCGTCGCGATTGACAGCCAACCAAAGCATCGACCACCAACAAAGATAAAATATGCAGAGCAAAGAATTATGGGCACAACAAAGTAAAATGATGAAAATGTCCTACGCTTACTTTGCACATGATGAATTTTAATTTATATATATCCTGTCCCTTCTTTAGAGTAGATTTTCATCAATCTCTTGCCATTTAAAGCAAAATGGTTTTCTTTCTTTATCTTTAATTTATTCAAAAGGAAAAATAAAGTTGATTGGAGAGATATAAGAAAAGTGTGTACGACAGTCAAATTACGTGTACAATTTGAACGTTCTTGCGAAGCAGAGCCTCTTCGTATTCTAATACAGTGTTAAAGCTACCCCAGTTAAGCAATCTTGATGAACTAATTTCGATGAAACTATGTTCATTATAATCTGGATGAAACAATTTAATCAAATTTTGAAAAATAATTCATAGCACTCTTTATCATGGTTGGTTTAAGCAATTGAAATGTCAATAGTTTTCTGGTATTTCGTAATCTGACCTTTTCAGTGTTCCCCACACAGGGCTGGTTTGGTATTGCTGTGCTTTGAAAAAAAGCTGCATCTGCTGTGTTGTGAGAATAAGCAGCTGTGAAATAAAGCAGCAGAGTGTTTGGTAAACTTTTTTGTAAAAGTGCTTTTGAAAAAAAAAAAAAAAAGCAGCATTAAAGTGTTTGGTAAACTTTTATGTAAAACAAATGTGAAAAAAAAGTCGGTTTTTCAAAGCTGGGTTTTGCAGCTTCTTGTTTTTGGCTTTTTTTCACCTAAAACTGTGAAAAAAAGCTGAAGCTGAGTGTTTACCAAACACAAAAATAGCTCCTAGCTTTTTTTGATAGCAGCTTTTTTCAGAATCACCTCAGTACCAAACCAGGTCACAATCTACTAACATCCATCAGCTTTGAAAAAATGGCGAAAATTATAGTTGAACTGAATCTGGCTGGAATGTTGGCCATGATGCAGTTTTGCTCTGATTTTTTTAAAATTTTTATTTTTATTATAAAAGAAGAATTATGTTTCCTTCATATATCTCAATCGTAACATCGCCCACATTCCAGCCAGATTCAGCTGAACTTCATAATTCGTGTACTGTATTTCTTGTGCCAAATCAAATCATTAATCTCTTCATAAAAACAGTAAAGAAAACAAAATTATAAATCTTGAGTCCTACAGATGGATACACGTGTTTACGTACCATGGTAATGTAATCAGATCGGACACGCATATAAAATTAACCGACACTAATTACGATACCTTGATGTGATCGAGTCAAAATCAGAATTAGCTACCTAATCTACATGTCCATGATGGGTCATAACGAAATGGTTTGAGTTAATTAATTGCAACTATGTTGAATACGACAGTTAAATAGAAAAGCCGGGTCCTTTAAATAAAGGAGTAAAGGCTGGTTTGGTATTGCTGTGCTTTGAAAAAAAACTACTTCTGCTGTGCTGTGAGAATAAGCAGCTGTGAAATAAAGCAGCAAAGTGCTTGGTAAACTTTTTTGTAAAAGTGCTTTTGAAAAAAAAAAAAAAAGCAGTATTATAATGTTTGGTAAACTTTTATGTAAAACAGATGTGAAAAAAAGCCAGTTTTTCAAAGCTGGGTTTTGCAGCTTCTTGTTTTTGGCTTTTTTTCACCCAAAACTGTGAAAAAAAGTTGAAGCTGAATGTTTACCAAACACAAAAACAGCTCCCAGCTTTTTTTGATACCAGCTTTTTTCAGAATTACCTCAATACCAAACCAGACCTAAGAATATCTCAAGGACAAACTCTAAATTTTTGTTAAACTAGCAAATGAAACGTATCAAAAAAACTATTTTAATTACTCATTTCACCTTTTCATTTTCAATAGCATTTTCTATTTAACAAACTTTAAATAATTTACTAATTATTATCAATTCAAATTCAACTCGCTCATTTTTTAAAATTGTTCTTTTCCTTGTTGGAGAACAATTCAGAAAATAAATAAAATAACAAAAACTGAAATACTAATTCTTTATTAATGAACTATACTTGCAATACAGAATAATATTACAGAAATAAATACAGGAATTTAAATTGATACTAACTTGATTGAATTACAAATAAAGGCTAGAGCAAAAGCTATGCCCTTCGAACAGTATTTCCGTCTCATTCTTGTGCTTGTGGTTCTACGATGTCTGCTCAACCAGGATACAACTATCTAATTTTACAACCCACATTGGATTATAGAATTCTAGCGAACTGCTTTGTGTGTTTACTCTCTATAAGGTTTTGTATGCTAGAGATGGGAAAAAGAAAAGGATGATGTACGATGGAACTGAGACTCTAGTTATATAGGATATTTCATACCTCTTTAAATACCTTTTGGATGTATCTGAAGCTACACAACTCTTTGAAAGAGTTGTGTCTATTAATCAAAAAAATTTTAATTAATTTTAATTAAAAACTTAATTCAAAATTAAAATTAATGATCTGATTAATTTTAATTCTTAGGCCCCCAAGGCCCTTGTCTTGATTAATTAATATAAATATTATATTAATATTATGGTATAATCATCAAGCCTAATCCACACAATTAGTTGCCCAAACCTCAATCCTCATTCCAAATGGTCCAACAACAACACCTAATCGCTAATAAAGGTGATTGACTTAATATAAGGACCTCAAATTCCCTTGAGTTCCTTGATGTGGAACTAAAGGAGCTCAAAACTCCAACACTACGTACTCACTTTGCATAACGGTCAATTCTTAACTCGAAACCCTACACACAAATCATAATTCGTGACCACCATTGCATCCATTGGAAGGTTTGTCCACGCATTGAATATAAACCAAACTCTGTTCGAATTTTAGAATGAGCGACGTAATTGTCTTTCCTCATCACTTACCCACTCCACCATGTTATGATTTCATGAAATTGTTAACTACAAGTTTGTTCGGTTGCATTAGTTCAAAGGGCAAGTGTCAATGTATTTTATAGTCAAATTTCCACACTAAGAATACATAACTAAAATCCAAAATCCATAAATTTGAGAGAGACCTACAGTGTCCTGATAAAAAAGAAAAAAGAAAAAAGAAAAAGAGTTTGGATAACATAAAGAAAAGAAAGAGCTCTGTCGTCACCTAAAATGCTAATCTCAAACCGTAGAGTTGTCGAGATACCTATTTAGGTTAAAACTTAAAATGTTGCTTCTAGTAATGACTTGTTTGGAAAAAAAAAAAAAAAAAAAACTCTCAGATCACTATAAAATGATAGTCAATCAGCAATGACCCAGTGAGTTAGACTTGTTGTGGTTCATTGTAGAATTTGAACAATCTTTCTACTAGTTGAGAGTTTTTTCAGTGTGATCGTCACATGAGATGGTACATCACGTGTCGTTATATAAATGGTGGATTTGTGTGTTAAAATGTTAATAACATAAAAAATAAAATTTCTCACCACTTACATAGAAACACATGGTGTACCATCTGTGTTTCCGTCACAACTAAAAATTTCTCCTACAAGTGAGATTTTTTTGGAGTTTTGATAATCCTTCTGATTTTTTATCCACGATGGTCTACTGGAAGACAATTGTATATATAGTGTAGTGAACTAAGTTTTATCAATAAGATTACCACTTTAACTTTTTTCCCAGCAACGGATAAATAATCGACAACATTAACTTTTAGAAAAAGTATTTTACATTTATGTTGAAAAAGTAATCACAAATTTAAGCTATGAAATATGGAAAACAAATTGAAAAAAAATAGGTCACCTAATTGAAGAAAATAATACAATACTAGATGATTTGACAAAATAGATCACTTAGTAGGCATTTTAACAATTAATAATCTTCTCTATTTTGTGTTTATGAAATATTAAGAATAAGAATTTGCAAATAGTTTTTCTTCTTTCTCATCCTTTGATTTGTTAACACTACTCGCATATATTATTACCAGGAAATTTAGAGTGATGTTAAGGACGATGATGCCACATATTTACACCACATTATTACCATATAATGTAAGCAAGTCAATCAATATTCAATAAGATAAAATTGATTAATTGACGTGACATGTATATATTACTTGTGAGAATAAATGGTACACCAATGTGGTATACATGGTTTCTATAACATTATTTGGAAATTTAATTAAGAGAGTAAAATGGGAAATTAAGTAAAATTTGGGGAATGTATTTATTTTAGTATTATGATGATCACCTCTCCATTGGAAGGTTGAAACAAACAACATACATATACCATCTCTTTTGAGAAACAGGAAATAAAATACATGGAACATGAGTGCCCTACAACTGTCTAATATTGCACGGAAAGGTAAATATGAAACCCTATCGAATATCGCATATATAAAACACGTTACATCAGCAGCTGCGTGGAGACTCGTTTTTTCTTTCTCTTCTTCCTTGTGTGGTGATAAGGCGCGCTGTTCGACTTCAACAGCCCCTTTCTTTATTCTGACCTTTCTTCTTCCCTTACCTGCACAGACATATTATTGTTATTTGTTAGGTCTCTGTCATTGGTCTATTTGTTACACACGACTACTGAATATCAAGAAAAAGAAATATTAGTTGAGTAATTAACGATATGTTGGAAATACATTGAGCATTTGCCAATAAGGATTATTAGCCAAAAAAGGAAATAAACCCTAGTCAATAAAAATTTATGGGAAAATGTTATTTTGTCATAGTGTGCATTTGGTTGTATGGTGATTTCCAAATTGACAACAGTAGTACTAACTAATTAATGAATAATAACATAGAATGGAGAAGCTTACCAGCTTGATGCAATTAAGCTTTCAATATCTAGTAGTGGTGAGGAGGTGGGGGTGAGGAATAGATGTAACCGTGTGGTGGGTGAGCTGCTGGAGGAGTTGGTGGCTTGTAAGGTTTCTTAGGTGGTTGTGGTGGTGAGTAAACTGGTGGTGGAGGAGACTTGTAGACTGGAGGGGGTGGTGGGGGAGACTTGTAGTGGTAAGGTTTCTTGGGTGGAGATGATGTGGGAACTGGAGGAGGTGGAGGTGGTGGGGACTTGTAGTGGTAAGGCTTCTTGGGTGGTAATGGTGGCGGTGGTGACTTGTAGTGGTAGGGGTGCTTAGGTGGTGAGTATTTAGGAGGAGTAGGAGAAGGAGGTGGTGGGGACTTGTAGTGGTAAGGCTTCTTGGGTGGTAGTGGTGGCGGTGGTGACTTGTAGTGGTAGGGGTGCTTAGGGGGTGAGTATTTAGGAGGAGTAGGAGAAGGAGGTGGTGGGGACTTGTAGTGGTAAGGCTTCTTGGGTGGTAGTGGTGGCGGTGGTGACTTGTAGTGGTAGGGGTGCTTAGGTGGTGAGTATTTGGGAGGAGTAGGAGAAGGAGGTGGTGGGGACTTGTAGTGGTAAGGCTTCTTGGGTGGTAGTGGTGGCGGTGGTGACTTGTAGTGGTAGGGGTGCTTAGGTGGTGAGTATTTAGGAGGAGTAGGAGAAGGTGGTGGTGGGGACTTGTAGTGGTAAGGCTTCTTAGGTGGAGGTGGTGAGTGAACAGGGTAATAAGGCTTCTTGTGTGGTGGCGGTGGTGGTGGGGATTTGTAATGGTAGGGCTTCTTTGGTGGTGGGGATGAGTGCACTGGTGGGGGAGGAGACTTGTAATGGTAAGGCTTCTTTGGTGGTGGGGGAGATTTGTAGTGGTAGGGCTTCTTGGATGGTGGTGGTGGAGACTTGTAGTGGTAGGGCTCCTTAGGTGGGGGTGGTGAGTGCACTGGAGGAGGAGGTGGTGGTGGGGATTTGTAGTGGTAAGGCTTTGGTGATGGTGGTGGTGACTTGGGGTGGTAGGGATGCTTAGGTGGTGAGTACACAGGAGGTGGTGGTGACTTAGGGTGGTAGGGATGCTTAGGTGGTGAGTAGTGCACTGGAGGAGAAGGAGAAGGAGGCGGTGGTGACTTGTAATGGTAGGGAGGAGAGGCCGGTGGTGGTGGAGATGAGTAAGGGTAGTTGGCTGAAGTTTCTGAAGGCAATGTGAGAGAGACTATTGCCACTAGGAGAGTGACCACAAGAGAGGTCACTTGTGAAGGCACCATTTTTCCCATCCTTCGTTAAGAATGGGTTTTTTGGTTTTCTGCTTCTGAAGCTAAACCTCCTCACCCTTTATATAGCCTTGGTCTTTACCCTTCACCATGGTACTCATGCCAAATTTCACTTGTCAATCATGAATTATCTTAGTAAAAAACATGATTACTGTAAAAATAATGCTAATGGGGCCAGACTATTTAAATAGATTATCAATTAATGTTTGGACCAATGAGGCCTTTGACCGAATTTTGTTAATTTATGCCCTTGTCCTTTTTATTTTTATTTTTATATCTTGTTTCATGGAATAGAAGGTTCATTGTAAACATAGATAACAATAAATACATAGATATGATTTTTACACTCTATTACTGCGCAGTAAAAGATTGTAAAAATTTCTGACAATATTAAAAAATAAAAATAAACAAGAGCTTGTAAAAATCATTAACCATTTCCCTGAGCGTATCACCTAAAGGGCTAAGGGTGTGACCATTTTTACTTTAATAAGGCTTTGTTTCATGCAATAAGAGTACGTAGCAGAAAGGTTAGCTAGCAAGAGATCCAACTTTATTTCTAGGTTAATAATTTAAGCAGGATGTCCTCCCTGGATTTGTTATCAAATATTTTTCATGATCGACATCTTTGAAAAATGTGTCTAGTTGCCTAACTTTCTATTATTCTTCCCGTACATGGGGACCAGCCGGCTGCGCGATTCTCTCTCTCACTCTCTCTCTCATAACCCAAACTTTACTACGTAGTCTGTCACATTCACATTTTGCATAGCTTTTAACTAATTTACTCGAATATCTAACTCTGAAGGTTTAAGATACAAATATTAAGTGCCCATTTGCCTTAATAATACAGTTTTTTTTTAAGGGAAGTGTTATTGACACTCCAAAAATCTCATTCTACATCCCTCACAAGTGTATTTTTCTTTCCTAATATAGAAAATTTGAAGAGTAAAATATGATTTTTGAAGTGCTAATAACAATTTCTTTTTTTAATTAATTATTCATTTCCAAATATGAATAATCTTTCATCATACAGTGAATGCTGACTGACTAGATTTGTCGTACTAGTTGTTCCAAACAATAACAACACATTTAGAAGGGAAAAAGAATGAAAGTAAATAAATTTAAGATGCTTAAATGTATAATTAAACATGTTTAACTGGACTTAAATCACATTATTCTGATCACCGCAAGAACGAGAAAAAGCTCCCCAAGTCTGAACTGGACAATGAATAAACAAATCCGCTTTACTTCAATCAACATGCAAGGTGAGCTGTTCAGATAATATTAATTATCTTTTTGTCTAATCATCTGTAGTCAATTATTTTCCAAACAGATCTAGGTCCTCGTACAAATGCACAACCATTAATTTGATGAATGACAAGTACGAAGAATTTTTTAATGTAATATTCACCCTATGACATGCGATGTAATCATGTAAATAACTTCTTCATTCATCCATATAATAATGTATAAAATGTAACACATGATCGTCACAATAAAAAAACCACTATTACCATAAGAACGGCACAAACTAATAATTTTTTCTTTCACCTTTTCTTTTAGTTTCTTTTACCCTAAAATTTTTTGATTTTCAACATTTGGTATATGAATTTTTTTTCATACCAGAATGGTACATAAAGTTATAATTTTGGGACACTTTAATACATTCGTTAAGGCTGTTGATAAATTTGTCGTTAACTGATGACTTGATATCCACGTGAACAATGACTAAACGCCATGTAGATATTAAAAAAATAATAATAAAAAATAATAAAACTAAAAAAATTTTAAAAAAATAAAATTTTTGGGCGTCTTCTCCCTCACCCCTTCCGACCCCACTCCCTTCTCTCCTTTGCACCCACTCTTCCCCCCTCCCTCCGTCGATCGGTGTTTCTGCCGTTTGCCAATCATCTCGTTCGACACCGAATTTCCGTGGTTTCTCCGCAACTCCCCCAGAGGCGCTTCCGAGGGCCTCCGTTACCAAGATCTCGCCTTTAACGTCGATTCTCTCAAACTCATCCAACTGGGTATCACCGTGTTCGACGACCGCGGCAATGTCCGCGGCACCTAGGAGTTCAACTTTCGGGGTTTTGACGAGGAAACCGACCCCCATGTTCCAGAATCCATCGCCCTCCTCCAACCGAATGGCTTGGATCTCGAGAAATTTGGGAAGTTCAGCATCGATTCGGATATTTTTGTGGAGGGTTTCGTTGAGATTTTAAGGGCAGCTCGTATGGGTGAGCTTCCACGGCCTCTACGACTCGGCCTATGTAATGAAGCAGGTGACGAGGAAGACCATCCTCAGCTCCCCCACTGAGTTCGCAAAGATGGCAGGTTGTTTGTTCGAGAGGGTCTACGACTTGAAGTTTATGGCCAAGTACTGCCCGGGCCTATTTGGGGGCGAAATTGGGCTCGAAAGGATGACAACAATCCTCGGAGTGCAGCGTTGGGTGGAGTCGAAGAGGGAGGGGGAAGGGTGGGTGCAGAGGAGAGAAGGGAGGGGGGTCGGAAGGGGTGAGGGAGACGACGCCCAAATTTTTATTTTTATTTTTTAAATTTTTTTAGTTTTTATTATTTTATAATATTCACGTGACGTCCAATTATTGTTCACGTGAATGCCATGTTATCAGTTAACGGAAAATTTAACAACAATCTTAACAGATGTATGAAAGTGTTCTAAAATTATAACTTTATGTACATATTGGGATAAAAAAAACTTCTTGTATCAAGTATTGAAAACTAAGAAATTTTAGAGTAGTAAACTGAGATTAACGTTTTTTTTTTATGTCTTTTAGCTGCTAGTACACCATGCTTTTCTGTTGTGGGGGTTATATGGTGTATTTACACCAAAAGTTGATGCCAAATAGAAAAATGTCTGAAATAATGAAAATACAAATTCATAATTACTCGTCAATATTTGATCGACGTGCAATAATTATTTAACCAATATATTGCAGTTAATACATTTTAATATTTTAGCAATTGTGATTTGTTATTCCTCGTTGAATCAAATTTCTTAAATTAATATGAACAACTAATTAACGTCGATCAGACCCAACACGTATATCTTTTACAATCATAATTTTAGTGATCCTTTGGCACGTACTTGTCAATGTGATTTTGGTCAAACTCTCTGTTATCCACATCTTTTAGGTGCAAATAGGAGTGTTAGGTGAAGACTGAATTTAGCTACGTACTTCCTTTTTAGCACACAGATATCACTCGAAGAACAAAATTTTACTTTTGACTGTTTGTCAAGGTTTCTCTGTATAAAACAAAAGGAAAGGGTAACCATGCAGTGCATTTACGAATTCAAAATGCCTATTGAACGTTCTTATGACGATTATTGTGTATGAATTTTTAAACAAAATTTTGACGTGTATGATTTAAAAATTCGTAAAAGATTTTCGTTGTAAGTTTTGAAGAGCATAGGTGCATGCAAGATGCAACTAGGGTCTGCAGAACAGAACATGAAGGGAAGGTTCTCAACCAGTAATACTTTTGTTTTAGTTTAATATCACCTAATTAAAGTGAAATTAACCCTTTTCATTTGGAAACCCTTGGAAATATGACGGTCAGCTTTCATGTTGTAGCTTTCAGGGTAGCTAGCTGGACTGTTAAAAATGGGTTAAATTAAAACGTTTTTGGTCGCTGTGTGTATTTCTAAAATTTATTTTGGTCATTGTGTTTTATTTTCTGTCAATTTGGTCACTATGTTATCACAAGTCAACCACTAAAAAAATGCATGTGACAGTTACGTGCAGGGCAAAGATGTATTTTCACTTCTTTGTGTGAAATGAACCAAATTAGTTAGAGTTTTTAGGCTAGTGCGAAATTGAGGTGAAAATACATAGTTGCCCCTGCACTTGCATGTCATATGTGTTTTTTTTGTAACGTTGGATTGAGAAGGACTAGGATTGCTAACTTGTGATAACACAATAACTAAATTAGCAGAAAATAAAATACAGTGACCAAAATAAATTTTAAACATAAACATAATGACCAAAAAAGTTTTTAACTGTTCAAAAACTTACCTATATGTGCAATGTGGTCACACCAATCTAAAATAATAAATATTTTTGACTCCTAATGATCTTTTTGAATCACTACTATGTCTCCCATATCTTGACAAAGCATCTATATAAATATATAAAATTCCAATTATAATGGGAGTAAGTAAGATTTAGAAAACCAGAAGTAGAGGCGTACTGGAATTTCCAAAGAAAAAATAAAAATTGAGCTGGACAGGTTAGTTGGCATGTGATTTGAGACAAATCTAAATCTAGAAGCTTGTAATAATGGAAGGAGGTGGAGAGCTGAGTTGAGTACTAAGAAAGTGCAGTAGGATTTTGGTTTTGTTTTTTATTTTATTTTTGGTCTAAACTCTACAGATATTAATTCTTAAAAAATTTGAGTGTGAATATGAAGCAAAATTGGTCAATTTTGCAGCACATTTTCGCTAAAAGTTTATTTCCTGAACAATATACATTTGCACCGTTGTAGTTGGTCCTGTATTAAATTTATTTTGTTTCCCATACTTCCTTAATTTCTTTGTACTTCCCTTGTTTTCTTCTAGTATGTTTTTGTTTGCCAAGTTGCTATAGAATTTATTTACCTTAATTTGGTTTTTTCCTTCTATCTTTATTTGGGGTCGGAAAATGCTACTTGGCTGTAAGGCCGAGAAGAAATGTGAAAACAAAACTTCCAAGAAAAGTACAGTGTTTTCTTTTTCGTTGCGGGTCTTCTGGTTCCGGTTTTTTACTATTCTCCCTGCTCCAGCACTTCTCCTTGAAGTTCTAAGGTTTTAGTTTTCCTCTTCGTCTTCTTATATTCTGTGAAAAGTCTTCCCCATTATAAGGCCCTTTAAAGGGATCATCATATGTTCTATTTTATTTCCTAGGAGTTCTAATCCATTTTGTAACGTACAGATGTTGAGATTCCGTAGATACAGAGCCAATTTTAATAAACTTATATTAAAGTTCTTATACATAAAAGACCATTTTAGTACAAAAATACCCGAATTTGGGGG